TCCTCCTGCCTCAGCCTCCCAAGTGCTGGGATTACAGGCATGAGACACCACACCAGGTTCCCAGGCTGGTTTTTCTCTTTTTTTTTTTTTTTGGTTTTTTTTTTCCGGTACCGGGAATTGAACTCATGACCTTGCGCTTGCCAGGCAGGCACTGTGCCACTGAGCTAAATCCCCAGCCCCTACTAGGCTGGTTTTAAACTCAAGAATTTAAGTGATCCTCCTGCCTTAGCCCCCCCATATCTCCCAGAAATGTCTTCAGTAAAATATAAAACAATTTAGCTTCATACTTGTGGCTGAACAGTGAGCTGAGCTGGAGACAGGACTATCAAGAACCTAACGCTACAACTGCTTCTCCACTCGTCAGGACACATCTGGGCACGGGGTCGCGGCACTGAGCCCATGGGGACCTGCTTGCTAGACAAGTAGTGCCGCCCCTCGGGCACGGCGGGCCACCTTGTCTTACCTGAGCTGGAGGAGGCATCTGCTTGGGCTTACTGTGGCCTCCCCAGAGCCACCCTGTGGCTCTGAGTGGGAGGAGCGTGGAGGCTTCCCCTCTGCCACCAGCATCTTCCTGAGTGACGCAGCCCTGGGGGCACCGGAAGTGAGGCTCTCCTTGAGGAAGAATGCCAGCTGTGGGCCTTCAGAGTCCCGGAAGGTGACAGCTAGCTGGGAGGACGCAAGATCCTGTTGGAGGTTAAGGTGGGGACATGACTGGTTGGCCAATCCCACCAGCAGGGCCCCTCACGCCAGCCTTGTCTGTGGCAGGTCTTTCTCCAGGAGCAAATGATTTCAACAGAGGCTTTCCGTACCAAAAGCTGAAGCTGGCAGCTGGGACCCTGGGGGCCGATTTTCTGACCAGTTCATCGAGATCCATCAGGTGAAGTCCAGTAATATCACAACCAATGCCCTATGGTGGGAATTCCAGCATCAATTCAGTATCAAGTGAAAGCCTTAATTCCTTGTATCAAAACAATAAGCAAATATTCCGTAAGCCAAAAGAGAAAGAAGCTGCAGACAGTCATCACAAATGCTCCACGACGCTTGGGCCTGGCTTGTGGCCACAGTGAGGAGCAGGAGGCATCCACAGTGGCCGGCCCGAGGCTCCAGGGCCAGCTTCACCAGCGAGTGCTGCTGGTGACAGCCAGGTATCATCTGAAGGTGCCAGAGGACAGGAACTGGCGTGCTCGATGGGCTGGGGGCTCCAGCCAATGGGATGCCACGCTCGGGGGACACTGGGACTCTGGGACACTGCACATGATGCAACCCACATCAGCTGGGCTGTCTTCCATTTGCTCACGGGAGAGTCACTATGTTCTTGTTTCTGGGGCCACCGGGGCCATCACATGTCCAGGCCAGGGTGGACACACCTCGTGTGACACAGCCGTGTTCTGAACTGCAAAGGAGACTCGTCATGGTTTCTGTTCAGTGAACAGTGACCACACACAGACTTACACATTAACAAAAGTAAAAGAGAACCAAGTTAAACTGAAGTAAAAGGAAGAAAGCTTTCTGATGAAGCAATCAAAAGACTGACGAGCCAGTGATGAAACCACCATTTGTTGAATTCATAGCCAAGCCGGTGTTATTAGTCCTATGAAAACGAGGAAATTAATGCCACTTCTCCAGAATGTTCCAGAGCCATCCAGAGGGGAACTGTAGGGATCAGCTATTCTGTACTGTTTGCACACTGTCTGCCAGACGACATCCACCACAGCGCACAGGTGACCAAGGAGAATCAGGTCGCAGCTAGGTCTCAACGCTGAGTGTACCGCAAAGGAACCGTCAAGCCCTATGACAAGGAACCACGCTGGCCCCTGCTCCCGTGACATCCCGCCTGCTGGGAAGTGCGCTCTCCTGGGTACTAACCAAAGTCATTGCCTTAGACAAAGCTTGTCAGGGGAACCAGCATGTAGAGGTCACAAGTCCTGACACAAAGCCAAGCCTGGGCCCAGCAGTTAGGACGTAGGAATCACCATCTTCGCCCGAGCTGAGACCTGGGTTTCCTTTGCTCCTCCATGAAGGGTGCAAGGAAAGCGGCCACACTGCCCACCCAGGCATGCAGCATCCTCCTCTCTCCGAACACACTCAGCATCCGCGGCGGCACAGTCCCGCGGCTCCCGAGGAGGAGGCAGCGCACCACTCACCGCTGTCCGAGGCTCGGGGCTGCACTTCCAGAACTTGATGCAGAAGGGGCTGAGCCCGGCACGGGGCACCTGGGGGTCTGCGGATGCTGAGCACCTGCCCTCCTCCACCGGCCCCACACACAAGCACCACAGCCCAGCCCAAGCCCTCCTGTCAACTGCACTTCAAGGAGGAGCAGGGAGATGGATCGGGTAAAGCTCTCGTGGGCCGGACGCTGCTTCTCCGCATGGCAGTGGGACGCTCAGCAGACCTGCTCCAAGGCTGAGTCCGGCCAGGATGCTGAACTGTGTGCACGCTGCCTCCACCCCCGTGCGTCACGACAGCCCCTCACCCCGGGCCGCAGCTCCCCCACCACCTGCTGCCGCCACCCACCGTGGACCCCACCAACCTGCTGGGGAGGACGCCTGCTACGAGGAGGTGGCCCACAGACTCTGGACCGCAGGGCTTACTTCTGGATTTTTCCTGTCTTCTTTCAGAAACAGGCTGATGTCACTCAAGACATCAGAAAATCATGTTTTAAAGGAACCTCTGCCCCCGGTGAGCTGACAGCCTTTCTGCCCACTGGACAGGTTCCCCTTCCACACACCGCCAAAGTCATGCAGTCCAAGCCTGGCCAGTGGAAGATTCTGCCCACTGTTAGCCCTGTTTATGAAAAGGGCAAATTCTTATGAAAACAGTAGAAAACTTAGGATATCAAAAATTGGGAGGTTAAAACGTTATAGAAATATCAAATTAGCACAACCTACTGACTTCACCTGGAATTAGTCGTGGATGGCCTGAAAATAGAATGCAATGAGACCATTTCCTCCCTGGGGTATAGAGGCCTGCGACATATGCCCACGCCCCACAGCACACCAGGGCAGCAAGGCATGGGGCAGGGTAAGTCACACTCGGGCACACTGGCATGGGTAAGGGGCAGAGTAGAAAGCGCCAAGCAAGGCCCCAGCCCAGGCGTCAGCGCCACCCACAATCTGGCCACCGCACTGCCTGCTGCAAGGAGCCCGAGGAGGCAGGGTCTGGCACCAGGGAGACCAGCACGGCAGCGACGTGTAGGCCAACACCTGCACTGCAGGCCCTCGCCTGCCCCACGTGGTACAGCCAGCATTTGTAGCTTTGACCCCACTGACCACACAGTGTCCTGCACAAACGCATACAAAGCCTTGTGAACAGCACCTGTGTTCAAGGGGCGGGCTGCCAGGTACAGACACTACAGGAAAAGCACCAAGAAATCATTTCCCCTCATTCCGAAACCATTCCTGATGACGACAAGTACTGGGTCAGGAACGAGCGGCTGCCGGCCCCTGCCTGAAGGAGTCTGCACTGTGGGTGTCAGGCGGAGGCAGAGGAGCACAGGCCTCCATGCCGGGGCTCCCGTACCACCTTCCACACTTCCCACAGAGCCTGTCCACTCCCAGAACCCCCTCTCCTGTGAATTACAGGCACCCCAAATACCCTGGAACCACCTCCACAAACTGTCCAGGCCCCTGTGAGCTTGAAAAGTCCAACAATTGCTGCCTTCAAAGTCCAGTTCAGCATCCGTGAGGGGAAGGGGCTGACATTTTGAAGCATCTGTCACATGTATTTTGCCTGAACTAAAGGACATCCCACAAATGCTGTTTTGTTTTAAATCCACAGCAGCCGTGTGTGGCATGCTTCCCATTTCTCAGCTGTGGGAAATGAGGCCTGCAGATGCTCTTCACTCATGCCAGTGCCAGTGCCCACGGCCCGTGAAATACTCCACCCGTCCAGCTCTGCCACCCACGTCCCATCCACGGGCAGCAGCTCTCACCCAAACAGGGAAATAAAAGAGAATGTAAACGCTGGTTTTCACTTTCAGTCTTTATTACCCAATCTGCATAACTTCTCACACCACTACAAAATCTCAAAAGAGTATTTTCGTGCTCATAAAAACAAAATTGTAAAAATACTGTCTTTTAAAACAGAGTGAAAACTAAAGCAATGACACAGGTCCCAAACCCCAACATCAGATGACCGGCAGGTAGGACAAGTCGACACCGCTCGCCACAGGGCTGGGTCTCCCCACCGGGGACAGGTACCTCTCACCCCAACTCAGTGCCCCAGTGTGGAGGCACACCACACACACACACACACACACACACACACACACACACACGGAGAAACACGGGCTCATCCTCGACCCCCTGAGTGCCAGGTCTGCCCAGGTGGTCAGGCCCCTGCCACTGTTCCCGTGGCCCTGTGACCAGGAAGACTTGTCCCCTGCCACACTGCACATTTAGCTACGAGCCAACACCTCCTCTTCAGAGAACAGCACCCTGGGGAGAGCGGCACAGTGGCAGCGCGGTGCTGTCTGGGTCTCGGCTGGGGACACGCAGGTTCTAAGGGCAGCACCCAGCTCCCTTCTAAAAGCTCACTTGTGCCCGGGGTGAGTGTGCGTTCGCTTTCCTCCTGCAGCCTCCCCTCAGAATGTGTCTCTGCACAAAGCCCGGCGGCCAGCAGGGGGCGCCTCGACCACCCCTGCACAAAGACCCTCTGTCTCCTGCACCCACGGGCTGTCTCGGGCTCAGACTGGCTGGAGGTCTGAGGTCTGTTTACTACTTGTGTGCACTTTTCGGCTCAGTGGGTTTTAGGTTCAGAGGCCTGGAATCTGAGCATGAAACAGTCCCACAGCACCCACTGCTCCCTCCCACCGCCTGACTACACACTCCCACTCCGGCTCCCAGCCGGCAAAGCAAGCCCACCTCAGCCGGCTGCTGCACCCACAGGCCCGGAGGAGCTGGAAGGCGGCTGCTGCACACTCCTCCGTGGGCATACCGGGTCTGAGACTCGAGACCCAGGGTGGAAATCGGGGCACAGGGACACACGGGGGCTACACTTACAGGACAGCGAGTGGGCGCCTTTGGGCAGATACTCGAACAGCAGGGAGCCGTCGTCTCCGAGCATGTCGGCCTTGAGGGACAGCAGGCTGTTCTTACTCATGAGTGCCGCGCGCAGGCTGGCCACCGCCGTGGCCTGGTGCAGGGCCTCGTCCTTTTCCGGGGTGAGTGGCGGACCTAAGAAGCTGGCTTCTCCTCCCAGCAGACCTTCGTCGACGTGTGCATAGAGCTCGGCCCGCTCCCCTCGGCTGTCTGAGCTGCTGGCCTCAGTGACGGTCAGGTCTGCACCTGGGGCGGGGACACACACAAGAGCACAGTCAGGTCACTCAGGACTGCACCTGGGAAGCGCAGCGATCTGGCAGGAGGGCAGCAGCTTCCCAACAACCCAGAGCTCACTGAGGGGCAGCAGGTGCCAGCCCAGCCCTGGGGGCCAGGGCACCGGCCCAGAGCAGCACAGCTCCCCTCCCCACCCCATCTCATCCCACCAGCCTGGCCCAGGACACCCACAGCCTTGCAGCCACAGCCTCAGCACAGCGGCACGGTCGCCCACTCCGGCCAGGGCTGGAGAAGCACCGGGCTCCACCCCAGGTGGACGCACGTGGGTCTGCAGGGCTTCTACCTTTTTCTTTTCCTTGCTGTGTTTTTTGTTTTGGACAGGGTCTCAGTTAAGTCGCTGAGTTCCCAGGCTAGGCTTGAACTTGAAATCTTCCTGCTTCAGAGTGCTGGGATTGCAGGTGTGCACCACATCCTGCTGGATTTCTACCTTTTAAAGAAAAATACCTAGCCGGGCATGGTGGCACACACCTGTAATCCCAGCACTCAGGAGGCAGAGGCAGGACAATTGTCATGAGTTCAAGGCCAGCCTGAACTACACGGTGAGACCTTGTCTCAAGAAAAAAAAGAAAAAGAAATACCTAACACCCATCAATGACCTACCTAAACATTAGAGCTAAAACTCTAACACTTTCAGGAAAACATATACATGACCTTAAATTTGGCAGTGGATTCTTAGACACACTACCAGAGCACAAGAAACAAAACAGATAAACTGGACTTAATTATAGTAAAACCTCCTGTGCTATTAAGACACTCTCAAGAAAACAAGAAGACAAATTGCAGGATGGGAAAAACTATCTGCAAGTCATGTATAAGAGACTCTGCCCAGATCACACACTCTTACAATTTAATGATAAAGAAACAGGCCCAGCCGGGCGCGGTGGCATGCGCCTGTAGTCCCAGATACTTGGAAGGCTGAGGTGGGAGGATCGCTTGAGTCCAGGAGTTCTGGGCTGCAGTGCACTATGCCCATCGGGTGTCCACACTAAGTTCGGCATCAATATGGTGACCTCCCGGGAGCAGGGGACCACCAGGTTGCCTAAGGAGGGGTGAACCGGCCCTGGTCAGAAAAAACAGGCCCAGGCACACCTATAATGCCAGTACTTAGGAGGCTGAGGCAGGAGGATTGCACGTGTTCATACATACATGTATATGTTTGCTTTTCCCTTCTTTCAAAAACAAAATATATATACAAGATAGTTAAGATAGTTACACTACTAATTTCTTAGTCCATTAAAAAGAAAAGTTTGTGCTCATTGTTCAGACAATTAAATGCCTATATCTTACTCTGAGTAATTTAAAGATAACCATATATGCAATGTGTTAACCATTGTTACTTTCTTTCTGAAATTTTTTTATCTTTAAAATAAGATTTTTTAAAAAGTAAGCAATAGATCTGATTAGACACTTATCCAGAGACATGCAAATGGCCAAGCAGCACATGAAAATACGCCCAACATCAATAGCTATCAGGAAAATGGCAAATGAAAAACCACAATGAAGCCAGGCATGGTGGCCACGCCTGTAATCCCAGCACTTGGGAGGCTGAGGCAGGAAGATTGCCACAAATTCGAGGCCAGCCTGGGCTACACAGTGAGTTTAGGGGCAACCTGAACTACATAGTGAGACCCTGTCTCAAAAAACAAACAACAACAAAAAAACACCCACACTACAATACAATTTCACATCCAGGGGGATGGCTACTGCCAAGAAACCAACAAATCAGGAGTGCTGGCAAGGCTGTGCAGAAAACACAGCCTGTGCGATGTCGTGGCTGTGAGCCGTGCCCCGGCTGTGGGGGGTCTGGCAGCTCCTAAGCGTGACCACCTAGGGTGCTCGCAGCCAAGGGGACTAGGACAGTCAGTCCCTGGGAGAGTCCCTGCCCTTCATGTGAGAAAGAAGTGAAAGAGAAGCCCCATGGAGGGTCCCACCGTCAGTCCCTAGGGAGCAGGAAGCGGTGCCCAGGAGTGGGGGAAGTGCCCCTCCAAGGCAGGCACTGAGGACTGGCCCTTTGGTGCAGGCCAAGGAAATGCCAATGCTTCCGTCTACGCGGGGCCTTCGAGACACAGCTGGCATTTAGAAAGAGAAGTTTATGAGCAGTGATTTCAGGAAGAAAATTCCACAAGCAGAACAGGAAGTTGAAGGCAATCAATCCATGTTCAGACAGTTCAGTGCTGCGTAGGACCACAGGGTGCACTTTATCATTGTCATGCAAAAGCTACTCCAGCACAGGGTGTGGGGGCACATGTCTGTATCCCAGCACTTGGGAGGCAGAGGCAGGAGAACTGCTGCAAGTTTGAGGCCAGCCTGGGCTATGTAGTCCATAGCGAGCTCAAGGCCAGCCTGAACTACATAGTGAGACCCTGTCTCAAAAAACCAAAACATAAATAAATAAACAGAGTGGTGAGCACAAGGTGTTTTCTGTATGCCCTGGGGCCTGTTCTAAGCCCTAATGGATTCTACCAGCAGCCCCATCCACCATGCACACCACAGGGCCACTTCCCACTGACCACCCCAGGTGAGTCTTGGGCCAGGACCAAGGGCAGCCTCAGAGACCCTGCCCCCAGCTCAGCCCTCTCTGGAAAGAAGGTTCTGGAATAAAGGACACATTGAGGAGGTCAGAACTAAACAGAGCTGACTTTGATGGCCACTGACGAGCCCGCCTCACAGTTAGGATGCCAAATGCGCGTTCCCTCCCCAGAACGGGCCGGGCTCCAAAAGTGCACTGGCACCGCCGGTAAACTGACACATTCTCTCTGTCTAGAGCCATCAGACACACACGCACTTGAGCGTACAACACACTGCACACACATATGCACGCACACAAGCATGAGCTTATGTTCACACAGTGTGCACATGCACACATTCTCACAAGCTCATAGTTTAAATTCATGTACACCCACCCACACTCACACACAGCACGCACACGCCTGCACACGTGCACACACACACGGACGCACACTCAGGCGTCTGCTGCACCTCCTGGCCCTGCAGCATTCTTGCCATTAGCCAAGCTCCCCATCTCCACCGTTAGCGGCCGTCTCTCCCCCAGTGGCTGACAGGACTCTGCCGTGTTTTTTTTTCCCGGGCAGGGCAGGGGGGTCACCTGGATCATCGCCTTAATGCATTTTTTTAAAATGGTGACAAGGGGGCTGGGGATTTAGCTCAGCGGCAAAGCGCCTGCCTGGCAAGCGCAAGGTCGTGAGTTCGGTTCCCGGTACCGGAGAAAAACCAAAAAAAA